TTCAAAAACAACACAACAGATCGTATCTCCATCATAGGCAAAGCCTGTATTTAATCCAATAAGTTATGGCCTTAACAGCCCCAATAAGACATGTTTCGGCAGTCCACTACCATCGTCAGTTATCTATTGCACGCAGGCAATCATTGATATAGGGGAGTAAAAATTCAATGCATGCAAGCTAAAAAATTTGTGGAATGAACCGTAACAGTACTACAAAGCAAAATATAAATAAAGATAAGATAAGATCAGAGTGCAGTATTTTAAATGCCACTAAGGGGAGAATGGAATGAATTTAGAATGACAAAGATAAATTAACATGAAAAAGCTATTTGTTCAGTGAGGGCTGCTCCCACTGAATATGCAAGGCTTCTTTGATTTTCAGAGTTTGGTTGTAGAGGCGGAGTCCAGTATTGTGAAACAGTCCTCATTGGCTGATTGTTTACAGTGACGTGAACTTTTCAGATGCTTTAATATATGCCAGTTTCCATCCAGTGTTAGGTGCTCACGCATGCGTGTAGAGAAATGTCGACTTGTTTCGCCAACGTAACAAGCATTACAGCCTGCACATACAAATTTGTAAACGACACGCGAACGGAGACCAACTGGGATGGGATCTTTAGCTGACAACAAATTTTTAATTTTAAATGAGGAAAATACAGTTTTTAAATTTAAGGCATCACAGAATTCATTCGATAAGGCACGGATTTTCTTACTAAGGACTTTGGAAAATGTGCCGACATAAGGTAATTTGAAATAAAAAGTGATTGGTGTATTTTCTTTAGTGTTATCCAGTGTACTTTTGCATTTACATTGAACTGAATTAACATAACGAAAAATAATTTGATCAATGAGGTATGAAGGAAAACAATTTCTCTTAAGGATGGTAGTTAATGCCTTGGTATCATAATGAAAGCCCCTCCAACTATTATTGATTTTAAAAGTCCTATCAACTAACGTGCGAATAAGACCGATTTTGTAACTGAACGAACAAAAACTGAAAAAATTAGTAAGTAAACCGGTATATGATTTTTTCCTAAAAACTGAGGTCTGAGGTGGCCCATCCTTAATGTTGGACACCAAGACGTCCAGGAAAGGAAGCTTTTTCCCTACTTCTTTTTCCATGGTGAATTTAATGTTGGGATGGCGGGAGTTAAGGTAATCAAAAAATAAATGAGCATCCTTTTCTTCATTAAAAACGCAAAAAATATCATCCACATAACGTTGGTACAATAACACATTGGGACCCTTATATTGTTCATGCCAAATTTTCTCATGGTGTCCCATGAATAAGTTGGCGAGAACAGGGGCTAGTGGGGAGCCCATAGCGACGCCGTCTATCTGGTCATAATAAACTTGGTTAAATAAAAAATGTGTTTTTAGAAGTGGCAAAAACAAATAATTTCTTAAGATTGGATTTGCTTATTTTCAAGTCAATGTCATCATTTTCCAAAATATAATTCACAGCCAAATCAATAGATTCATCTAATGGAATATTAGTGAATAAGCTTTTAACATCAAATGAAACCATGGATTTATTGCTGAAATTTGATTTTTTAAGGTCGTTAACGAAGCTAAA